ATCCATGACCAATCACGTGCAAGGAATCCAAACCCTTATCTGGCAAATTTACAGGGGACCATCAGCTTGAAGTAGCAATATGTTGTTGTTATAAAAGAGTAATGGTGGTCACAAATTTCTTGAAACAAATGTTGGTGAGCTGAGCAGCGAAACAGGCATACAACTGATGATGATGATGATGACGATGAATTGGGAATACACATTTAGTAAATTACATTTAATGGTGTAATGAGTACTCACCAAAACCTATAAATAAATTTATCCCTGTAATCTTTATGTATTGCTTATATTTCTGTACACACTGTGACATTTTGCATATTCAATAGTCATTATAATTAGTATTTTTTAGCATACCTTGCTAGAATGTTAATCAAATTGACATAGCCCAGAGATATCTGATTAGCATTTAGGTTGTTAATTAGATGGCCATTGGCATAAAGATGAGCTAATAATGATATTCTCATCTGTAGCCTACAATACATCTTCCTTCACTTCATTATGCATGCACAGTATGCATAGCTTTCAGGTTTAGGTGACACTGTGTCCGAACTCTTTTTTGTCTTCAGTCCTGTTTGCTGCTTTGGTAAAATAAATGCATTGTACTCAGTCGTGAATATCCAGAAATGGCGAACAACCTCCTTTGCTGCAGCATCTTTGGCTGGGAGGCACACCACTGTCAGACCGCAAAGGATTTGCAAAGAAATTAGCTTCAAGACTCATTTGTCACTCTCATCCCAACCCAAACCCGGTTCCTCAATCTCACTTTCATATTTCCCCTCAACCTCACATTACATCCAATCAGTTTTAATATTTTAACACATTTTTTCAAAGGCTTAACATTTATGCTCATCATTTATTTTGATAAAACAGAAATATCTGAAGCTGCTTTTTTGTTGGCACCTACTCTTGGTCCCTGAAGACTCTCAATCCATTTGGCTGAGTATCATAAATTAGTTGGCATGTAAAATCAACTGTTACTTTTCCATAGAAAATGTTTATGGTACATGTCCTCTCAGGATGGCAATTTACTATAAATGTTAATCTTAATACATGCAGTTAACCCAGAATATCTAGACCTGGCAATCTACCACCAACAGTTTTTGTCTACAATCATATCAAGGGGCTTCTCTCTTTATCAAGCAGAATAGTTCTCTATCCGTTTCTCCCTCTCCCATAGTTCCATATCTATTCGAGGTGCCGGTATTCAGTTCCGGTGGGCTCCTGCCCAAGTCAAGCACTGCCTCTATGCAGTATTGACTGCATGTCACCGGGGATCTCCCTTTTTTGAACGCCTCTTCAGTAGAATTCACTACAGAGTCAGGCCTGGTCAACCAAGAGCCCCCTAGATACCTTCTAAGAACTGGAGCCCATCCCGTGAGAAAACCCTGCGAGTTTAACATGTGTCACCTACCCTGCCTTCTTCTTTCCCACGTGCCAATGTAACAGACATCACGCTGCTTGCTTACTGAGTACCGCTTCCTCCTGATGAGGCTCACACCGAGGCTCGAACCCAGGACCTCTGCCTTGCTAGCACACGTGATCACCCTCCCAAAGCATCTTACCAGTCGGCGCCACCAAAAAGCTAGCTATTCGGTGACACTTCAGGTTGAGGAGTGAGTTTTTTATTTATTTTATTTTCATTTCACCCTTATTTAACCAGGTAAGCCAGTTGAGAACAAGTTCTCATTTACAACTGCGACCTGGCCAAGATAAAGCAAAGCAGTTCGATAAAAACAACAACACAGAGTTACATATGTGGTAAACAAAACATAAAGTCAAAAATAAAACAGAAAATATATATATACAGTGTGTGCGAATGTAGTAAGTTATGGAGGTAAGGCAATAAATAGGCCATAGTGCAAAATAGTTACAATTTCGTATTAACACTGGAATGATAGATGTGCAAAAGATGATGTGCAAATAGAGATACTGGCGTGCAAATTAGCAAAATAAATAACAATATGGGGATGAGGTAGTTGGGTGGGCTAATTTCAGAATGGCTGTGTACAGGTGAAGTGATAGGTAAGCTGCTCTGACAACTGACGCTTAAAGTTAGTGAGGGAGATAAGAGTCTCCAGCTTCAGAGATTTTTGCAGTTCGTTCCAGTCATTGGCAGCAGGGAACTGGAAGGAATGGCGGCCAAAGGAGGTTTTGGCTTTGGGGATGACCAGTGAGATATACCTGCGAGTGAGTTTCACACATCCCCATGTGCTACATCAAGAGCAAGGTTGGGTAGGTTACTTTACATTTACATTTACATTTTAGTCATTTAGCAGACGCTCTTATCCAGAGCGACTTACAGGAGCAATTAGGGTTAAGTGCCTTGCTCAAGGGCACATCGACAGATTTTTCACCTAGTCGGCTCAGGGACCTGAGAACCAGCGACCTTTCGGTTACTGGCACAACGCTCTTAACCACTAAGCTACCTGCCGCCTTTATAAATGTAATCCGTTACAATTACTTGTTGCCTGTCCAAAATTGTCATCAGTAACGTAACTTTTGGATTACCCAAACTCAGTAACATAATCTGATTACTTTCAGTTACTTTTGGATTACTTTCCCCTTATTAATATTGATGCACCCGTGCTTCAATTTAAGTAACATGATAAAAAAATCACCATCATATTTCGATAGAGATAGAGATATTTAAAAAATGTGCATGGGCTGCGTCTCAATCCAGCCCATCCGCCTATGTCGTCCTTCCCTATCTGCGGTGGAAAGTTGCAGAGCTACAGCACTGTTTGTCAGACCAGGAGATATCCTGAAAATCGGTCTTCTCGCGAAAACGTCTGTAACGTCCAAACTAACATGGCCACTCTATGGAAAGATGAGACTCTCACGAACACGATGGTCTTCTCTGTTTTGATTCATGACTTCCATAAGCCCCACAGTCCATTTGGGCTACAAACTAATGTGTCACCGGACTTGTCTGAAGGTAACCTGGTACTGGTTTTAAAAAATTATGGAAGTATTTTAGGTAGTTTTATGCCAACAAAAAAAAGGGGGTTAAATATGTGTATAAATATATATATATATATATATTTCCTGAGCTTTGTTATATCTCCTAGATATAGGACAAACACTTCAAAACCTTGTTTCTTATTATGTATTTATTTGGTGTATTGTTTGCCATTTATGAATGTGTTATTAAGTACGTTTCTCTGGGCTATAATAGTAAAGGCCAAATTCAATATTTTATCAAATAATTTTCTGACATGTTTTTTTTTTTATACCTAAAGGGGTCCTAAAATTCCAAATCAAATAGCTAAATGATCCACAGTATGACAATCTTAAAACAATTCCCCCCCACATTAAGCTTATGTACTTTTATTTAAGATGTCTGTTTTTTCACTGGATAATACACAGTTCAGTAGTCACGCAGTCAAGAACATTAGAGCCATCTGGTGGTTCAAGACAGAACACTACTCAAACCAGTGCAACGATATCAGAATTACTGCTAGACAACAACCGGACATCGTTTTAGAATACTACACAGGTGCCTTATTTGATTGATGCTTACAAATGTAGAGATCTAATTTAGTAGGCCAGCTCAGTTAGGAAAGATCAATGAGAATATCATTGTATCTAATTGTGTGGAAAAGCATCTTCTCAGTAGGTTGATGATGCATTAATAAATATGATAGGCTATTTGGTTGACCATCAAGTACAGATGATGGTAGACTTTTATCGTATTTGCAGTGTACTAATCTTGGACACCCAGAACTAAAATCTAGTAATAGTGTCAGATGCTCGATTAAAGGGATAGTTCAACCAAATAAAAAAATGACACATTGAATTCCTTACCCTGTACGTAGTCTATGGACAAGATATGACAGCAATCCATGGTTTGGTTTAGTTTCCCTGGCACTGTTTCCAAATGCTAACGTTTTAGCATTTGTGGCACAAATCCCATTCAAGTCATGGTACCGATATTAGCATTTTTCACGTCATGTCCAAATCATCCGAAAGTATTTAAAATTGAAGCAAAAGCAAAAGTGAAGCAAAAGTCAACAAAGTCACTTATAGATGATTTGAACAAAATGTTAGCATTTGGAAACAGTGCCAAGGAAACTAAACCAAAGCATAGATTGCTGTCATACCACAAAACAATGAGACAGATATTTCAATGGATGTACAAATTTGAAGCGTCCGCTTGGCGTTTCCACTCACTACCAAATATGGTAGTGAGAGGAAGCACAGTGGCCAGGCAGTGGGATAAGATGCACCAAGATAGATTTTGGCCAACATTCTGCTAATTTTCTAATTGATTAAACCTTTGATCTCAATACAGTTTTCTGTTCCCAAAACTATAATCTGTTACGAACAGAGTGGACTAAGTTTTGTAAACGTTACCCTTTGTTAAAGTTTCAAAAACATTTGTTGTTTAGAAGACATGCAAAGGCGAATTGAGTTATTGCACAATCGCACTTTACAGATTAGGCGTTCCCTAACGGAAATATGGAAACATATACTACAACGCGCCAATAGGATCTCACTAGCTCATGCTTGGCTCTGCCCACCTCCTTTCTTGTTCTGCCCACTATTACTCATTTGTTCCCATTTGAAACGACAGGCTGTGGTCTATCTTGGTTTAGTTATTTTAAAAAAACGTTGGTCATACCCCTTGTCCATAGACTGCTTACAGGGTAAGGAAACCAATGTCATTTTTTAATTTGGGGTAGCTATCCCTTTAAGCTACTACCATTTATGTTACTTGCATCTGTCCACAAGAGATTAGCAGTGTGCGACAGATGAAAGGTTAGTTATCGTAATCATTGCGTGTACTGTCACTTTAACATGCCAATGTTCGATGTAAAAACTCAAATCCCCAGAATGCACAGCAGTTTGAGTCATCGCGTAAAAGGTCATGGTTAGAAGGGATACAGCTTTTATCAAATTAACGTCAAAAGTTATAATTTGGGGCGTTTTCGCTAACCCTACCCTAATTCTCATAAACTCATACGTTAATTCTCCAAACCTGCTGCGTAACTAAGTTCTCCTAACCTGCTACGAAAAGTCAAATCCGACAAAAACTGTATCCCATCTAGTCAAAACCAACAAAAAGCGGAAACAAAAGAAATCATACATTTCTAGAAACACATTTTGGTGAGCTGAGCAGAGATACAGGCATACAACTGACAGCTTTCAGTGTTAACGCCATACACCTAACGCAGGAGGGCTGACATGGCTTTGAAAAGAATACAGAAGGTGAGTGTGTCCATTAATTTTATAATGTCGTCATGCTCATAAACGGTTGGTCGATGTCTTCCTGTCACAAAATTCCACAATAGCATAGTTAGCTAGCTAATGTTAGCTTTGGACGTTAGCTAGCTACCTATCTAGCTAAACCATTGGCTATTTTGTCAACAGTGGTTTAACTTGTCCGTTACTCCTCACCGAATAAATAATACATTTTCATCGTAGCAATAATGACCATAAAACGTTAGCTAACTGTTAATGTTTTACCTTGTGTCAGGCTGGCAAATCAAAGTTTACTAATATTAGTAACATTCATTGTAGTTAACTAAGTTGTTGGCTATTATTGGGCTACCAGCATAATCATCAGTCAATCAGTAACGCTAACTAAGTTAACTAGTTATCGGTGTAACGTTAGCTAGCGAAGTTAATTTTATCAACGCCATAACTAGCTAGCTACAGTAGCTAGTTAGATACTCGTAAATTAGCTAACTGGTCTGTAACTTGTAAACTAGTTATGTTGCTGTTCTGGTTATTCCTGTCAATGAATAAAAACGGTTCTGGAACCGCCATTACCACGAGTGGGCTATTGTAGATATCTCTGCTTGTTTTACTGTCAGTGTATATTTCAACATAACCTTAACGTTAATGCGCCTAATATAATGTGGGATTCGTGAAATTCAGCAGTAGCTAAATTATAGATGCATGGGGGTCAATTCCTAGCTATATATGTAGCTAACTAGGTACCTTTTATTATTGTTTTTTTATTCAACCAGGAAAAACCCATTGAGACACAGCCTCTCTTTTGCAAGGGAGACCTGGCCAAGAAAGCAGCAGCTGTCAATAAACATTACACCATGTTAAACATACAATACAAACAGCACAACATGTCACCTAGCTAGCTGCTTGAATTCGTATAAAGCCATATAGACCTCAAGACTGGCTTGTCAAAGTAGCTAACAACATTGTTAGGTAGACAATGCACTATATGTATAGAATTTTCCCCCTATACATCATTCATTGTGCTATAATGTTAATTATTTTATTTTACAGGAGCTACATGACTTGCAAAGGGACCCTCCTGCTCAATGCTCAGCCGGACCAGTTGGAGAGGACTGTACGTTTCACTACAGCTTTTGTGGCCATCTCAAATAAACTAAAATTAATGCAGAAATAAAATGATGGAAATGAAGGGGTATTGACCTCAGTCAATTAATTCCTTTTGGCGCCATTTGCATTTTATTGTCAATAATTATATGATTTTATCTGTCTCATCTTTCTTTTACAGTGTTTCATTGGCAAGCCACAATCATGGGACCTGTAAGCCCTTTTCTAAATTCTCATCATTGTTTCTAAGTCTTTAGTAGACAATAGTGTCAATATTGTGTTGATTGCTGATGGAAGCCATTTATTCTGCATTGATCCCATTGTTATAAGATCAACCTTTTTGCACCACCGAAGGAACGAGTGTTAGTCTGCTTGTCTTACTATATAGCCTACTATAACTGAGTTGCTTGTATGATATGCTTGGATATGTGTCACCTCCAGTAAACCCCCATCACACTTCTGTTACTGTAAACAATGACCAGTAAAGGGAGGCTGACTGTGGGCTTTAACATATACGTATATGGAGTATTGTGTGCTACTTTACGGTTCACAGTACTGTTTTAACAATGAACCTTTCACCCCTCTTTTAGACTGACAGCCCATATCAGGGAGGAGTGTTCTTCCTCACCATCCACTTCCCAACAGACTATCCCTTCAAACCACCAAAGGTTAGAAACACCTCACAGCTCCTGTTATTACACAATATCCCCTTGGGTGTAGAGTACCCTAAACCACATGCAGTATATATGCCTGACTTTTTTTGGGTTTTTTTTCTCTGCATGTATTTTCTTTCCATAGGTAGCCTTCACAACGAAAATCTATCACCCAAACATAAACAGTAATGGTAGCATCTGTCTGGACATTCTGAGGTCACAGTGGTCCCCAGCACTTACAGTTTCGAAAGGTAAGACAAACTGGCTTACATTCGCGGTTTGTAAACCAACTTGTTTTTTGTGTGTCTTTTGTACCCTCATGAAAGTTAGTTGCAAAATGCATCTGACATTTTTTCCTGATTTGTTCTCCAACTGTTAAGCTTGACAATGTCGACAATTACAATATTATTGCTGGTGTAATTGCAAAAATAAACTCATCCTAGTTATCCCTGCCTTTTTGTTCTTCCAGTTTTATTGTCCATATGCTCTTTGCTATGTGACCCAAACCCAGATGACCCCCTAGTCCCAGACATAGCACACATCTACAAGCAGGACAAAGAAAAGTAAGTTGACACACACACACACCATTCTTCTTTTAGCAGGAAAAATATATGAACGTGACATTTATTTCGTGTGTAAAGCTTGTAGTCAATTATAGAATAAACATCTCTTCTGAAAGTAGACACTCCTACAAGATACTGTATCTACTTTATAATGATATGGCTGCTTAAAAAATACTGGCTGAATGTAAGATTTGGCTGTAGATTGCTCAAATCTTTGTTAAACCTGGTTTACATTTTATTTTGTTTTTACAGGTACAACAGATTAGCAAGAGATTGGACTCAAAAGTATGCAATGTAAAGGACTGAAGTTTGAGACAACGGAAAAGGCTTAAGCAAATTAACTTCCTGGACACTTCTGAAAACAGTACTGTTGCCACCCCTCATCCACACTGGTTCAAGAAGAAGTGTTGTATATGGGAAGCACTTTCTATGCCCAAATTAACTGGTTTTATGCTTTGAAGTCATTATTTTCCTTTTGTTTGACATTCCCAATGTTATATAACTTATTATTCAGTTATTGCTGAGATGGCCCATAAAAAAAACAGACCAATTATGAATCCATCCCCCCCTCCATCTTATAGGTAGAAAATGTTTTCTCCTTTTAGAGATTTTTATTGTATAGTATAAAGCTATACTGAATCTATTTTTATTATTTTCCATTAAAAAGTTAAACCAAAAAATAGATCCTGTCTTTATTGTTATCCTAGAGATGCCTATCGATATATTTTAGATCTACACAAGTGCCTGGAGGTTTGGGCTAGGGCTTTTTCCTTTTTTTTTCAGGGTAGTAGTATTCAGAAATTCTTCCCATTACATTTTGTATTTCACCACTAGATGACAGCATTTACCTCCTCCCATACTACACAGGAGCACGGCTCAATTGAATGCAAATTCGAAATAGGGCTATAATCTGGCAGGTTACACCAATGGATTACACCGTTACCTTGTTTTTCTAAAATCAATACCTCCACAGTTAATGGTGTTGTATTTTTTTCTTTAAACTTCAGCTACTGTCAGGTTTAATTATTTGACAGGGCGTTCTGACTTTTCAGAGGCTCTCGGCGGTCATGTCTAGATGGCATACGGGTTTTGTCAAATTGATGTAAAAAAGGTATTCTAGCTAACCGTAACCCTTTTCCTAATTGAAGTAATTATCCTAACCTGCTACGTGAAATCTATTAACCTGCTATGTTAATTCTCCTGCTACGAAAAGTCAATTTTGACCAAAGCTGTATCCCATCTAGACAAAACCGCTCTAGGCCTAGGTAAGGATAAAAGTTAACCTATGAACTTCAACATCTGAATTAAAGCCTAATGATAAAAGAGATGCATAATATTTGTTTGTTCAGTCCCCTTTATGTATGTATGCACTGCCTGAATTGCTGTGGAATAGCACTGTAGGCCTAAATATAAATTAAATTTAGCATATCTGCTAAATTGTTTCAATTTCACATTAGAGGTAACTCTACTGTCTTAACTGAAATCCTCGATTTTATCTCTGTGTATCAACTCTTACAGAAGCGTTTCTCGTGAGGTGGTATTGGGCCCTTGTTTAGTTTTCTTGTTACTGTATTGTTTCCTCAGGATGTGAATTGGTTCCTCAATGTTTCTTAGAACAAATGCTTCGTCTGGCCCTTCTTACTATACGGTAAATTTACTGTAACTCATCTGTGCCATAGTTTGGCATGGAATCGTTGAGTCATGAATAAAATATACATATACCAAGTAATGAACTTGAGTAAAAGTATTCGACCTAGTCAAATTAATAAAATAAGCCTACCTACAGTGCATTCGGAAAGTATTCAGACCCCTTGACTTTTTCCATGTTACGTTACAGCCTTATTCTAGACCCCTTATTTTTTTCCCCTCATCAATCTACACCCAATACCCCATAATGACAAAGTGAAAACAGGTTTAGACATTTTTGCAAATGTATAAAAAACAGAAATACCTTATTTACATAAGTATTCAGACCCTTTGCTATGAGACTTGAAATTGAGCTCAGGTGCATCCTGTTTACATTGATCATCCTTGAGATGTTTCTACAACTTGATTGGAGTCCACCTGTGGTAAATTCAATAAATTTGACATGATTTGGACCGGCACACACCTGTCTGTATAAGGTCCCACAGTTGACAGTGCATGTCAGAGCAAAAACCAAGCCATGAGGTCAAAGGAATTGTCCGTAGAGCGCCGAGACAGGATTCTGTCGCGGCACAGATATGGGGAAGGGTACCAAAAAATGTCTGCAGCATTGAAGGTTCCCAAGAACAGTGGCCTCCATCGTTCTAAAATGGAAGAAGTTTGGAACCACCGAGACTCTTCCTAGAGTTGGCCGCCCGGCCAAACTGAGCAATCAGGGGAGAAGGGCCTTGGTCAGGGAGGTGACCAAGAACCCAATGTTCACTCTGACAGAGCTCCAGAGTTCCTCTGTGGAGATGGGAGAACCTTCCAGAAGGACAACCATCTCTGCAGCACTCCACCAATCAGGCTTTTATGGTAGAGTGGTCAGACGGAAGCCACTCCTCAGTAAAAGGCACATGACGGCCCGCTTGGAGTTTGCCAAAAGGCACCTGAAGGACTCTCAAACCATGAGAAACAAGATTCTCTGGTCTGATGGAAGCAAGATTGAACTCTTAGGCCTGAATGCCAAGCATCACGTCTGGAGGAAACCTGGCACCATCCCTACAGTGAAGCATGGTGGTGGCAGCATCATGCTGTGAGGATGTTTTCAGCAGCAGGGACTGGGAGACTAGTCAGGATTGAGGGAAAACCTGCTCAGGACCTCAGACTGGGGCAAAGATTCACCTTCCAACAGGACCTAAGCACACAGCCAAGACAACGCAGGAGTGGCTTCGGGACAAGTCTCTGAATGTCCTTGAGTGGCCCAGCCAGAGCCCGGACTTGAACCCAATCGAACATCTCTGGAGAGACCTGAAAATAGCTGTGCAGCGACGCTCCCCATCCTACCTGACAGAGCTTGAGAGGATCTGGAGAGAAGAATGGGAGAATCTCCCCAAATACAGGTGTGCCTAGCTTGTAGCATCATACCCAAGAAGACTTGAGGCTGTAATCTCTGCCACAGGTGCTTCAACAAAATACTGAGTAAAGGGTCTGAATACTTATGTAAATGTGATATAAATTTTATATAAATCTGAGAGAAAAATCTAAACCTATTTTTGCTTTGATATTATGGGGTATTGTGTGTAGGTTGATGGGGGGGAAAAATAATGTACTTTATACTCGGTACGTTTTCCCTGACACCCAAAAGGACAGAAAAAAATGGCAAATTCACTCATGAACAGGACATCCCTGGTCATCCTTACTGCCTCTGATCTGGCGGACTCACTAAACTCAAATGCTTCGTTTGTAAATTATGTCTGAATGTTGGAGTGTGTCCCTGGATATCCATTAATTTAAGAAAACAAGGAAATTGTGCCGTCGGGTTTGCTTAATATAAGGAATTTTAAATAATTCATACTGTTGATACTTAAGTATATTTGAGCAATTACATTTACTTTTCATATTTAAGTATATTTAAAACCAAATAATTTTAGACTTTTACTCAAGTAGTATTTTACTGGGTGACTTTCACTTTTACTTGAGTCATTTTCTATTAAGGTATCTTTACTTTTACTCAAGTATGACAATTGGGTACTTCCACCACTGCCTATGATTTTCATATATGATAAGCAATAATGATGATTTGAAAAGGGTTCATTGGGACAAATGATGGGAAGGAATGCAATAAACTACACTTGGGAGGAGTCCCACGTCTTCGAGATGTGCCTGACACGTGAAACTTTTACTTGTGCTCTAGACTTAGAAAAGAAACTGTGGTCGGACTATTATTAGAGCGCCACTCAATGGGGACATCAGAGGGGGCTCGAGGAAACGGTCGAGGAAGAAGTCACTGCGCAACAATGAGTCTGAACACAATCTCGAAGTGATAGATAAAGGGAAGTAGCTTTTACAATCCACAATTTGGTAGTTTACAATTAGTTCGAAACGCAGTGGCCACTGGAAACGTTTCTGCGCAGCGCAATGGCTGCCCAGTGCGACTCTTTGAGCGGATACTTGCAACAGTCGGACCAGGGCTCGAACAGCGAGCGCAGTACTGACTCCCCCGTCCCCGGCTCCGAGGATGACTTGAGCGGACCCCATGCCTTACCAGACCCGGAGTGGACGGAGGAGAGATTTCGAGTGGACCGCAAGAAACTGGAAATCATGTTATTAGGTAGGCCTAAATAAAAAATACAGAAATATGGTGCTCTGTTTTGCTACATTTTAAAAGTTTGGCTACATTTTAAAACATTCCTTTGTTATGGGAATGGGAACTATGCCAACTGTATGCTTCCAAAAACTAATTTTTCCCCTTCATATGGTATTTCTAGATTTTTTTTCTTCACATTCTTTGGCTATATTTCGTGTCTGTCTTGACCAGTAATGTGAAGGCCTGTGTGTTGCTATGTCGCTCGCTTACCTGTTTTTGGTGTCTTCAGAGTCTGTCCGGCTCAAACATTTTTGGGCCATAATTTCAAACATTTCTTTGTAGTTTATGTTGATCACAGAAAGCAAATTACACATTGTGGTTCCCTCTGCTCGGATGGCATTGAAATATAATCAATGTCATACATTTTTTCTAGGATGGGCATAGTCTTCTATAGAAACCTCAATATTACATTCATTAAAACAAACGTTATAGACACGGTAAAATTGTTTATGCAAAACTAGTAATTTAATTCTGACTGAAGTCACGGTCACCTCACATGGATCCATAATGTTTGTGCTATGGTCAGCGGTTGAGAAGCATGAACACGACTCGACCAATAGGAGTCGCTATGAGCACGTGTGTTATGGTCATTACTTAAGTTTTACGTTCGATACCTCAATAGCTGAAAACACTTCTCTCGATGAAACCAAACTATCCTGAAAATATTTCCTGGTCATTGGAAACCTATAACCGATGCTAAGACTTTGTTTATGGTTATTAAACCTACTTAAAAGTGTTTAAGAATACTATTTTGACAATATCTCATGTAGTCTGTATGTGCAATACTGTACAAACCTATAGTCAATGATCTGTCTGAGATACGAAGCGTCTCTGCATCCACTGTTTTCCAGATTGTGATAAAGTTGTTTCCCCTTTCGTAGCTAATCCAGCACAATCTCTGTCACTGTCATGTCAGTGAACAGTTATAGGAGTGACATCAGGTTTGTGTGTGGTCGGTCTCTAAAGAGACCTATGTCCCTTGGAGTGTGTAAATGATGAGATCTTCATCAGTTATTGCAAGACGCATCTTGTAGAAGAAGAAACCAGCATTATGTAACTGAAGAATACTTTTTTATCAATCCCACAAGAAGACCACGAGTTGCCATCAGCTGGAGAAACAGCCAAACAAGGCTGTACAGGGAACATTTAACAGCAGGAGATAATGAACCCAATGAAAACAACCCATGGAAGCTCAGATATCATACAAAACAAGGGGTTTCCTATTCAGCTTGATACAAGACAACCCATGTCTTTGTCTGTCTGGACTCCTTTTTCTCATCCTGTTGGATATCTATTCAGTGGGATTCTGATTGCTCTTCTCTCCCTTGATAGTGTTTTCTTTCATTACAGTACTCTTTTGATTATAATGAGTTAACCTCTGATGAATGTGTTTCATGCTCCAAGCCTCTCCTCTGT